TGGCTAGACCTGGTTTTTGTTTTTTTTTTTTAATTTTATTATTTTTATTTTATGTGTATGTGTGTGTTGCCCGTATGTAGGTAAGTGCACCCATGTCGTGCAATGCCCTCGGAGGTCAGAAGAGGTGGTCAGATCCCCTGGGACTGGAGTTACAGACAGTTGTTAGCTGTCATGTGGGTGCTGGGATTCGAGCCCAGGTCCTCTGCAAGAACAACCAGTGTTCTTAACCACTGAGCCATCTCTCCAGCCCCTAATATATTATTTTTATTTTATGTGTATGCATACGTTGCCTGCATGTAGGTAAGTGCACCCGTGTTGTGCAATGCCCTCGGAGGTCAGAAGAGGTGGTCGGATCCCCTGGGACTGGAGTTACAGACAGTTGTTAGCTGCCATGTGGGTGCTGGGATTCGAGCCCACGTCCTCTGCAAGAACAACCAGTGTTCTTAACCACTGAGCCATCTCTCCAGCCCCTAATAACAATGTTTTTAAAAATTAGCCATAGAAGTCTAAGGCTAACAGCCGAGCACGTGGTGGCACAAGCCTTTAATCCCAGCACTTGGGAGCTAGAGGCAGGCAGATCTTTGTGAGTTCCAGACCAATGTGGTCTATATAGTGAGTTCCAGGCCAGCTGGGGCTACAGAGAGACCCTGTCTCAAAAAGACAGAAAAAAAACAAAAAAACAAAAAACAAAAAACTAAGGTTAACAACCAAAACATGAAAGAATGTTAAAAAAATAAAGTATATCAAATTTTAAAAATTTGAAATGATAGTAAAAAGGAAGTATTTCCTTCCTGATAGAAAACATCTTGTAAGTAAAAATGCTTGTGCAGTACCACAGCACAGAACCATGAACACCTGAGGAATGCCATGCCATGACCTCCTCTCCTCCATTGTCTGGATTACTCCAGAGAATCTTTTCTAACCTCACGTGATCGCATACATCAGGCACAATGAACAATGCCTGGCAGATGGACCACAGTTTTCTACAAATGAAATAAAACGTGCTTTGGTTCCCACTCCTTCCAACAATGCTCGCCAGGCAGTAGCTGTACAAGGGTTAATTCTTTCTTAGAAAAGTTAGGATAACTGACTTTTCTGGATGACTGTGAGGAGTCTTTCACATTAACTTGGGAAGGAATTCCTTTCCCCTAACTGCATGTACTGCCTTGCATTAACCTGCCTGTAAAAATCGTTGACTACTTAAGCCCCTTTCACACAGCTGCCAAAGATCAATCTACAGCTGGTTCCAATTAGCTTAACTTTTAATTACCTGGAATGGCTTGGAGAGCACCATGCAAACAGTGATTTCATATATCATCCATTCAAATAACTAACTAGAAGCCGGGAACTGTAGCTCAGCAACATGGTGCTTCCCTAGCATCTCAGCAACGCAAAAAACAGAGAGAGAATGAGGAAATAACTGGAAGACAGATGATGGGGGATGAGACCTGTGCTACAACTAGAGAATTTCACACTCATATTTCTGGGGCTAGAGAATAATCAATTATTGCAAAGAGGATTTAGAATCTAGTCAAAACCTGATTAGTAGGCACATTTTCCTCCTCCAAAAACTATGTTGCAGTTCCTTCTGTGTGTTATAATTGTCCAAGTTATCACACATTGTATTTCAGACAGAGCAACTGTTAGTCCAACCTCCTCTGAAACTCTTCTCCCATTGACAACCAGTTCACTGACACAGGTCATCAACTCATAGCAGTGGAAGAGTATGCTGGTCACACTGCAGGAAACTCTAGAGATTTCATTTGATCTGCTTCTGTTGGCTTCAATTACATACACACAAGTATGTGTGCATATATATTGATACATATACACACAATGTTATTCTACTCAACCTACTAAGCCCAATGCATCCATCTCAAGAAATAACTTGGATAGAGATGGCTCAGAGGTTAAGAGCACTGGCTGCTCTTGCAGAGAATCCCGATTCAGTTCCAGCACCCACATGGCAGCTAACAATGTAACTCCAATTCCATGGATCTGACCTTCTCTTCTGGCCTCTACCAGCACTGTATGACATTGAGTGCACTTCCATACATGCAGGCAAAACACTCATAGATATAAAATAAAACCAAATTAATAATAATAATAATTTGGGACTGGCAAGATGGCTCAGTAGGTAAAGACATTTGCTGCCAAGCCTGGTGATCTGAGTTCCCATAACCTTCATGGTAGAAGTAAAGTGACTCCCACAAGTTGGCTCTGACCTCCACACTCCCACAGTGGCATGCATGTACACACCCAGACACTAAATAAACAAAATTTTTGTAAAAAAGGAAATAATTTGGAGTCAGGTGTGGAGATACTTACATGTAATCCCAGTACTTGGCAGGTGGAGACAGGAGGAGTTTGAGGCCAGCCTGAGGTACATAAGACGACCCTGTCACAAAAACTCAAAAAGGAAGGAAGAATGGAAGGAAGGGAGGAAGGATTTGGAACTGGAAATCACTAACATTTCTAAATGCAAGGCAAAGACTCACCGGCAAGTTTTCCTACCCCTGGGCTAAATCTGTTCCATAGCTCATGGTCTTGACTGTTTGTTGTTTTTCTTTTTTCCTCTCTTTTTCTTGAGACAGGGCCTCATTATGTAGCCATGGCTGGCCTAGAACTTGGTATGTAGATCAGGCTAGCCCCAAACTTGGAGCTCTGCCTGCCTGTGCTGGGATTAAAGGGTGCATCACCATAGCCAGTTAGTTTTATATTTATCAATTAACCACTTTGGAGTATTTTGCTACTTTACTGGTACTGCACTGGTACTGCATTTATTAAGTGAAAGTTCTTCAAATTCTTCCCTAGTCTGACTAAAGAGCAAATTACTACTATAAACAAAATGTGTAAGATTTATGACCAACCCTAAATGCATTAATATCCAGACTTCAGTCCATGTATTTCTTCTTCTCATATTTATCTCGAATAAATCCTTCAACAGCTCTGCAAAAACCTTATTAAGGATAAATCAAACACATGGCTCAAACAGCAGGAAGGTAAAAGATCCATTTGGAACACTGCTCTCCTTCCTGCTTCCCACCTGGTTTCCCCACAATACTCCGGTCTCTTCATATACAGTTTCCCAACCAAAATCTTGAAATGACTCTTCAAGGTTACTGTGAGCAATCATTCCTGATTTCCCTTTAGGGTGATGACAACAGCAGGTAGGAGTAACCTTCACACTGACAGCAGTGTTACCTGTGGCTCTAGGACTCTAGGACATAGGGAAAGCAGTCTGTGTTCTATCTTAAAGCCCTTGACCAACAGAGCTCAAACAAAGGCACTTAAGTGCCTCTCAAAAAATAAGCTTAGGGAGCTAGAGGAATAGCTCAGTTAGGTTAAGAGCCCTGGCTGCTTTTATAGAGGACCTGGGTTCTTCCCAGCACCCACATGGCAGCTTACAATCATTTGTAACTTCAGTTCCAGGAGATCTGATGCCTTCTCCTGACCTCTGAGGGCACTGAATGACAAAGGTACACTTACATACATATAGGCAATATGTGCATACACAAAAAATAATAAAACATTTTTTAAAGGCACAAACTCTGAAACTCTACTATTATTAAAAAAATAATAGCCAGGGCTGGAGAGATGGCTCAGTGGTTAAGAACACTGGTTGTTCTTGCAGAAGACCCAGGTTCGAATTCCAGCACCCACATGGCAG